TATACATATGTATAAATATACAAACTTAATTGACCTGCCTGTCTTAGTTTGGGAACTCGTATCCGTTTATTGCTCTCTGTATGTGTGTATATATATCTCCTCAATATTTATTCCACTCTATATGCATCCGAAGAAGTGGGCTGTAGTCCACGAAAGCTTATGCTCTAATAAATTTGTTAGTCTCTAAGGTGCCACAAGTACTCCTGTTCTTTTTGCGGATACAGACTAACATGGCTGCTACTCTGAAACCTGTCAATTCAATAGGACTATTCAGTGTGGACTAATGGACAGAGCACTGGGTTGGGACTGAGGAGACCTAGGCTCTATTCATTGCTTTGCTACTGGTTTGCTGGATAAACTAGGGCAAGTCACTTCACTTTTCTGTGCTTCAATTGCCTTATCTGTAAAGTGGGGATAACAATACTTACCTGTTTTGTAAAAGTGCTTTGAGATCTCTGGATGAAAAGTTGTATGTAAGAGCTAGTTATTATTTTTCATGGTAGTAAGCACTATGCCTGGTAATAAGCAATTGGAAGATAAGGTCAACAGACCCAACAACTGAAGTTTAAACTTTTAAATGATGTAACAATCCTTTCGGTAAAGATATAATTGACTAAACTACTGAATGGAAAGCTCTGCTAATGAAGGTCTTTTTTTTCTCCTCTCTGGTAATTTCCTTTAATGGTAGTCCTGTTCTTCCAGTTTTCAGAGTTCATGTTCCTGGAGTTATCATTATTGGAAGCTCCAGAGTGCTCTTTCTCTGAAATTGTTTGTACAGAAATACGGACTTCCCCAACAATAACCCAAGCTCTGTGGTTGGACTGTTGAGACTCCCAGACATGCCTTTCCTCACCCCCTGAACTGACTCAACCACTGATGGGGCTTCCTAGTATTTTTGTTGAAGTATTTGCAGTTTGAGCAGAACAAAGCTGTCAGAACATTCATCCACATCAGCCTCTCTGAACACTTACTGTCTTTACTGAGAAGACTAGAGGCACATGCATACGTCCAGGGCCGGCTCTAGGTTTTTTGCCGCTCCAAGCAAAAAAAATTTTGGCTGCCCCCCACCCCAGCCCTGGGCTCCCCCCCCCCACACCCCCTACCGCCCCAGTCCTGGGCTCCCCCCCCAAACGTGACCTCCTCGTTCACCACAGCAATCCCCGTTTACACTTGCAGTGGGGATCAAACCGTTTCTTCTATTTTCATTTCACTTTAGTATAAATCTCGTGCCCCCCCCGTCCCCCGCAACCCCATCTTTAGTGCTCCAAATGCACATGGAAGGCATAGGGACTAACCCTTGTACCCGGAAATGGATGGGGATCTAGTAAAGAGGGTTCAGGCAGAGGAGCGGCTGTGGGGGTGCTTGGGGGCTCTACACTGGCAGAGAAGCGGGGTGTGATGTACTTGCGGAGGAGGGTGGAGGAGGAGAGGGGGTATCAGGAGGGTTGCGGGAGAAGAGGTGCAGGGGAAGGGGGAGATGTGGGAGGAAAGGGCTGGGGGAGGGTACAAGGGGAGAGGTACAGGTGAAGGGAGAGTACAAGGGGAAGGGGTTTGGCGAAGGAGCAAGGGGGGGAGGTACAAGTGAAGAGGCTGTGAGCGGGATGGGGGGTGCAAGAGCTGAAAGGGGCAGGTGCTGACAGCTGCTTCCCCAGCCCCGTGCAGGCAGAGCCGAGAGGACGGTCACTGATCCCCAGGTGTCCGAGCCATAGGGAACTCCCAGCGAGGCAGTATCCCCCGCTGCTCCGCTCGGAGCTGGACTCTGCCTCTCCCCGCCCCTGGCGCTGTGGGGGCCCGGGGCAAGCAATGCAGGGCTGAGGCGAGTGTGCAGCGGGCTGGGTCCGGGGGCAGGAGGGGACAGCTCCCTGGCAGCTCGGGCTGCCCAGCCACTCACCCCATCAGCGCACAAGCCGGGATCCGCACCCCCTGCCCAGCCCGGCAGCGCCCTGCACAGCCCACTCGGGCGGGGAAACGCTGCGCCGTCCTGGGGAGACTCAGAGCAGCAGCAGTGGCAGCAGCAGGACACCTCCTTCCTCTCTGCATCCCGGGCCCCGCTTCCCTCCCTCCCTGGCTCCTCACACACTCCGGGATCCCCTCTCGCCGCCACAGCCCAGGCTCGACTCCAGGGGATGATGCTCTGGCTCTCCAGCGGCAGAGCTCCAACCAGGGCCGGCTCCTGGCTTTTTGCTGCCCCAAGGAAAAAAAAAAAAAGGGGCCGGAGTGCCGTCCCTTGGAAAGTGCTGCCCCAAGCACATGCTTGGAGTGGTGGTGCCTACAGCCGGGCATGCTAGTAGATGAAACAGAAGATTCCATTTGAAACATCTTTATATTACATTTAAGGCTTTCCGCACGATTCCTCCATTTGCTGCCCCTTAAGTTTTGGAGCATACTTACACCTTCATTAAAAGCAGATGGAGTTCCCATTTTGGGCTGAGCAGAAGATACTCTTTGTCTGTAGTCCAAATAAAACCCTGTATTGAGGTTTGACTTTGGTGGTAACTCAAATATCAAGCAGCTATAAACCTGTGCTTTCTCTCCCCAAGTCCTGTACAGTTTACGTCACTGTGAATTTTTTACACTGCCTTTAGTGGGGCAGGACTGGACTCTTACTCCCAAGAGTAGTCCTTAGTCTTGCAAATGATCCCACTGGACTAATGTAACTACTCACACTAGTATGGATTTGCGGGATCAGATCTTGTTATATAGAATACTCAATTATTTAAAGCCACACAATCAAAATTGACAGTTTCACAATTTAACTTCTTCTAACAAAAGAAATAGCAATTTCTCTTTTAAAAAGCTGCTGATCCTAAAAATAATCTGTCACTTCTTCCCCTGAGGGCTACAGTATAGTTCAAATGCCAGTTGCATGGATGCCAAAACATGGAACAGCAAACGCGGGAGGCAGCAAAGGGCAGGACACTTGTATATTTTGGTAGCTGGACTCCTCACAGAAAACAATCAGGTGAGCAGTGCGGAAGGCCGGTTCACGTCCTGTTCCTGTGAATTTAAAACAAAGTCCCTTATTTTTAGGCTTGCCAGACTTAACAGTGCCCACAGTTCTTCAGGATTCCGAAGTTGGGAGTCTTCCTCCCCTAAATTAAGGTAACAAGCATCAGCTTTTAATTTGCATGGCACGCTTGCTAATAAAGTCTAATTACAGTACACAGATTAAACAGGTGTGTTAATGCTGACAGGAAGGATTCTGCCAAGGTCAATGATTCACAGACATTTAGCAGGGAAATAATACATTGTGAGACATCAAACTCCAACCTTATAGCTTGTAATGCAACAGGTTTACAGCCACGTATGCAGTGTGAAGGTTGTAGTCATTCTCCTGTAAGATGCTGAATGTTTTTTGCGAGACACAGTGCTCCCAAGTTAATGGGAGTGCTTGCATGAGTAAGTTATTCATACTTGTAGATGTCTGTAGGATTGGGTCATAAGCCAGGTTTAGCAATTTCAGAGAGCCAAATTCAGAGTGCTGGTCATTCACAGTTCCTACTGGGCCAAATCCTTATTCAGCTTTTACTTGAGAGTTTTGCATGAGCAAGGACTGAGTGAAGACCCCAGAATCCAACCTGCTGATTTCAGTGGGAGCTTCAGGGGCTCAGCACGTGCTCAGTACCTCTCAGGCTATGGCCTATGTTACTGCCCACTGGACAAGATTACATTATTCATTTGTATTCCAGTAGTGCCTAGGAGCGTCAGTCGTGGACCAGGATGCCATTGTGCTAAGCACTGCACAAACACAGAACAGCAAAGATGCTCCCTGCCCCAAATAGCCTATAATCTAAATATAAAATCAGAGATCACAGATGGATATAGACAGCCTGGAGAATACAAGGAAACAATGAGACATTATTGGTCAGCATGATAGCCAGTGGTCTCAGCACACCAACAGCCTAACCATTGGAGGCATCCCAGGGAGTGCCTCTCAGCTGTGAGGGGCAGCACAGGAGAAAGCAGGAAGGTGCTTGTTTGAAAATTTAATAATTGGGTGATGAAAGCTGGCATCATAGGCCACTCGGAGGCGAGTGTCAACAGCTCAATAGTGAATGTGAGCTAACAGGTAGGTTGGGGATAGGCTGTCTGTAAAAAGCCTTGACAGTGAATACAAGACAGTTGCTAAAGGCATTTCAGACAGTGTTTGGATTAATCATGCCCCAAGGATTTTAAAGAACTGCTGTTGGGAACTCCTTCTCAACAAAAAAAGGCATATTACCCCGGATAGACCCAGGCAGGATCTTTCAAATGCAGACCCTGAGTTTTTTGTTATAATCCCAGGGACTTTGAACTCTGCACTGCTCCACCTCAAATTCCTCTCATGCCAGACCTGCCGGAATGTAAGGACTTTTATCCTGATAAACATCCCTCTTGTTTTTTAAAGAGAAGCAGTACTTACTGTGTATTGAATTGACAGAAAAAAACTACTCAGTAAGCCACATAGGGTACATCTAGCCAGCAACTGAACACCCATGGCTGGTCTGGGTCAGCTAACTTGGGTTCACAGAGCTGTAAAACTGCTGTGCAGACACGGGCTTAGGCTGCAGCCCAGGATTTGGGACCCTGCAAGGAGGAAGGTCCCAGAGCCCAGGTTCCAGCCCTAGTGTCTACACCAGGGATTGGCAACCTTTGGCATGCGGCCCATCAGGGAAATCCGGTGGCGGGCCGGGACGGTTTGTTTACCTGCAGCGTCCGCAGGTTCACCCAATCGCAGCTCTCATTGGCAGGAAGTGGCGTGGGCTGAGCGCCAAGGGATGTGCTGGCTGCCGTTTCCCATAGCCCCCATTGGCCTGGAACAGTGAACCACGGCCAATGGGAGCTGCGATCGGCTGCACCTGCGGATGCTGCAGATAAACAAATCGTCCCGGCCTGCCAGCGGATTTCCCTGATGGGCCACATGAAAAGGTTGCCTATCCCTGATCTACACAGCAATTTTTATCTCTGGAGACAGAGCACGAGTCAGCTAACCTGGGCCAGCCATGGCCATGCCACTGGTCTTTTATTCCAGTGTAGACATATCCATAGATTCATTCAGACATACTGAGATTGAGTGAGAGTTATTCTTCAGATGTCATCTATTGCTCGGCACCCACATTTTCAAACCAGCTCAGGTCAAAGTGTTACAATGGTAATTGGGTTTAGGGCACATCTGAAAATATGGCCCTGTACAAATAAATCCCATGCAAAGCAAATGCATTTGCACTGCAATTCACACCATGCTGTTTAACTGCAACAAATTTCTGACCTAAATATAAATACGAGAGGGGTATATAGAGGAGCCTGCCATCTGTCTCTTAGGCCCATCATACAAAGTCATATCAAGTAGTCCTGCTTAGCACTTGTCAGTTTTGCCTCAGGATTTTAGGTTAAAGTCTCAACTCAGATTATGCTCAGAAGATCTGCAAAATGATCTAAGCGGGGAGACCACGGCTTCAACTGGGTGCTATGCAGATCATTTTGCAGGATTGGGCCTTCAGTCTCAACTCTGGTAGGAGCAGAAGCAGCCAAAGCAAGGACCTTTGGACATTCAGAGAACTTTCTACAGTTCTGATGGGACTTACTCTGCCCTGTACTGAATGGTACTGAATACCAATCCCCAGTATCTTCTCCTCAGATTCACTCCACCACCTCTTACCCTTTTCTTCCTTGCCCCACTCTCCCTTACCTTTTCTTTCCATTTAGCTGATCGCCTCCTAACTAAGCCTCTCCCCACTCTTCTTCCAAAAAAGTCCTACAACTAACATGCTGCTGGCTGCCATCACATTATTCACTCTGCTTGTGTCTCCCACCTCTTTCCCCAGCCTGTATCTGTCTTGCCTATTTAGATTGTAAGCATCTATTTCTGTTTGTACAGTGCCTAGCCCAATGGGGACCCAATTTTTCTTGGCACATAATATACATGATTATAAATAATATGTCCTGTCCACACTAAATCATTTGAAGAAACTGTGCCTGGAACATCTTGAGAACACAATATCTATATATGCCTTGCGTCTCACACAGCCACTGTCTGGAATGTTTTACGAGCACTGCTTGCAACACTTGGGTCAGGTTTTCTTTAGGTCATGTCCAGCTAAACCAGCACTGTCCATAATGGTTTCTAGTCAGGAAGCCATGAGCAGTGTAGCTGCACTGGTTCAGCCAGTCCTCCTGCCCACTCCTGACTCAATTGTGCAATGCTCAGTTCTTACTGAGGTTGGAAGAACAAGTCCCCTCTGCTCTCTACTTCCCTCTTTGCACAGGTTGTCTTTAGATAGGGTTACCATTCGTCCGGATTCCCCCGGACATGTCCGGCTTTTTCGGG